AATGTAGGGCTGGTATTCGGATTCAGAGAAGGCGATAGAGAAAGAGGTGGTAAAAGGGCCGAGCGAAATGAAGCTATAAAAAGGTTCTATCCATGAAATCTTACACGTCTCAGCTCAGCACTGCGACTAAATCTTTCCAGTAAGCGGTTGCAGTTCAAATTTGAAACAATTGGTCAACGCACGGGCTGCCCGTGCGAAGATGCGTTTTTTGCGTAGCTCCCCGCAGTTTTTGTCGCTACCGGCACCGGTTTTCTTCGGCAAATGCTTCTAGCTAAACAAATTAAGACTGCCCGCCAGAACTGCCGGGAAACACTCCCTTAAAATTTCAGCTTTCTAGCTTCTCAGATCCCCGAGTTATGAACTTACCCGAAAAAAATTTTGGCGGCCCGTACGCGGTTACCACGCTTACCAGAGGGATGGGTTTGAGCTCTTTAATAGCTACTTGGGCGGGGGACGTCCCCTTAAAATTTCAGCTTTCTAGCTTTTATGGTTCGTAAGTTATCGACTTACCCAAAAAAAGTTTTGGCGAGCTCGTAAGCAGGTACCACGCTTATTCGGGGGCTGGATTTCAGCACAGTAATACCTACTTTGACAGGGAACATACCCTTAAGATTTCAGCTCTCTAGCTTCCCAGATTTCCGAGTTATCAACTCACCCAAAAAAAAATTTTACGGGCCCGTACGTGGTACCACTCGGGTAAGACCGCCCATTTTCGGGATGGGGACCCGTGCGTGCATGTAGATTAACCCCCCAAAGTTTCAGTCTTGTAGTTTTTGTAGGTCTTGAGATGAAAAATCGGTACAGATGCGCAGCGCACACACAGACAGACAGACAACCTCTCGTCAATATGCGTTTTCCGCGTGCATAGCTGCAAAAAATGCATAATAATTGGCCAACGCCCGGGCTGCCCGTGCGAAGATGCATTTTTTTTATAGTTCCCCGCAGTTTTTATCGCTACCGACACCGGTTTTTTCGGCAAATGCTTTTAGCTAAAGAAATTAAGACTGGCCGCCAGAACTGCCAGGAAACATCTCCTTAAAATTTTAGTTTTCTAGCTTTCCTGGCTCCTGAGTTAGCAACTTACTGAAAAAAAACTTTCACGGGCCCGTACGTGGGTACAACTCATGCCCGATGTCTGGGTTTGAGCTCTTTAAGACTTATGTGGACGGGGAATATCCTCTTAAAATTACAATTTTCTAGCTTTTCAGCTTCTCGAGTTAGCAACTTACCCGAGAAAAACTTTGGTAAGCCCGTGCGTGGGTGCCACGTAAACTGAAGGCTGGTTTGAGCTGATGAGACTAAGGTGGACGGGGAATATCCTCTTAAAATTACAGTCCTTTAGCTTTTCAAATTCCCGAGTTATCAAATT